CTCGGGATAGAGCAGGGTTTAGGGCTGTTGTACATAGGGTCGCTATGAGTCGCAAACGACTCAACGGTACATAACAATCTCTTAGTGGGGGCTGGTCTTCTGCTTGAGAGAGCCCAGCAGTTTCTCAATAATCTTTCTTGGCCTGCATGGGTTCTGTCCTTTGGCGACTTTACAATAGGTAACTCTTCACACGCGGGGGAAAGGGGACAACGTCGGACTGATGAACTGTTTTTGCACAATGCTGGATCTTTTCAAAGTGTCCTCATGAGGATTCTACTCTTTTCCCAGCAGCCTGACTGAAGGGGCCCTTTCCCACTCCTCAGAGCCAAACCTCCTGCCTGGAGAGACTTCCTTCATCATAGAGTCAACAGCGAGCCATCGCCTCCCTTTGGCTCGTGCAAGCGCCCCTTTCACCTTTTTCAGGGCGGGCGGTTGCTGTGTGTCCACACCGGGTGCGGAGGGTATCCCCGACAACCTAGCTCTGTACGCAATCAGGGTCCCGCCGGGCTCGTCTCTCCTGGCCAGGCCCCTCCGCCCGCCAGCGACTTGGGCCCTTCGCAGCCCCGCTTTGCACTGCGCGGAGGAGCAGGGCCAGAGCGGTGACGGGGGCAGCCCCGGCACGTGACGCAGCCCGCGCCGCCTAGCCGGCGACGTCACGTGACGGCGGGGCCGGGGTTTCTCACGTGACGGGGCGCGCGCGCGCGCATGGACCAATGAGGCGGCGGGGGCGGGACCGGCGGGCGTCGGCGGGAGGGGTTCCTGCGCTTCCGCCGGCGCTGGGAGCTGGAGCCTGGGCCGCGGGGCCCTTCGGCGATCGGCCCGCAGGTCCAGCCTGGACCAGGGCTGGGCAGCATGAGGTGTCTCGTGACGGGCGGCAACGTCAAGGGTGAGTCCAGGCGGTGGGCACGCGGGGGCCAGGCCAGGCGCCAGCCTAACCGTCTCTCCTCTCCTCCGCAGTGCTGGGCAAGGCTGTCCACTCCCTGTCTCGCATCGGAGACGAGCTCTACCTGGAGCCTCTGGAGGACGGGGTGAGGGACTGGGCTGGGGCGGGGGGTGTGTGTCTGCCGTTGCCGTTTCTGCCTCTTTGCTGCAGAGCTCAGCCCGCTTGAGCTTTGCTACCTTGGCTGCCTGGTGTGTGCGCCTCTCTGCCCTCCCTTGAGATCTTAGTGGCAGGTGGAGGGTGGCTTATGTTCAGAGATGAGCTTGAGATCTTGGTGGCAGGTGGAGGGTGGCTTATGTTCAGAGATGAGCAGAGAAAGGCAGAGTGGGGACTCACGTGAAGGGGACTCTCAGTGATGGCCGAAACAGGGTGGGGGAAGGTTCCCAAAGAAGGACCATATGAAACCGCCTAGCCGGGGAGGACCTACCTGTGCGAGTTGGTGGAGTTGGAAGGCCCGGGCGAGCCCAGATCAAAAGACTGGGACTTTTCCATTCCAACCTCAGCTTCCAGGACCTGGTGACCAAAAGAACTAGATGAGGCCCGGCCACCACCGCTGACCTCTCCATCACAGTAGATCTTGGATAGGGAAAAGGTGGAACAGAACTCAAAAAAAGGCCAGGTTTACAGATCTGGTGGCATCCCCAAGACTATGACCTTTATTTTCCCTTCAAACCTGAAACAAAGTTCACCTCTGTGGTTCACCTGTCAGCCACAGAGACCACTACAGACTGGTCTGTACAGTGAACACCAGGGAGGCATTCCCTCCTTAGGATAACCAACCATTTGAGGGGAAAAAAACAACCACCCAGCATTTGCCCAAGGGTAAAACCCAGAAGACAGGAAGACACAGGATAAAAGGAGAGTAGTGGAAAGAAATGATAATAACAGGGAGGAGGCGGGAATATTTGGTTACATTGTCAGTTTTGTAATTATGTTATAAAGCAAAGGGTATATGAGTGCTTGAATTGAAATAAATCAATACACTCTGTAAATTGTCACCCAAACAGCAATTTAAAAAATGAAAATGCAATAAAGTTCAGCCCAAAAAGTTAGGGGGGCAGAGATTAGTGGGTCACAGCCCCAACAATACTGAGGAAGAAAGTTCTGGCGATGTTTGGTCACAGCCTTGACAACCCAGTGCTGCAGTTCCACTCTGTGCAGTGGGCTGCCACCCAGTCCGTTTGGTTTGTGGGGAGGTGGGGGGACATGAGGGCAGGACCTGAGCAGAAGCAGGCCAGGGGTCTGGGCCTGTCTCAGCCCTGACCACACTCCAGTGCCCTCTCTGCTCCTGGCCCAGCTCTCCCTCCGGACGGTTAACTCCTCGCGGTCGGCCTATGCCTGCTTCCTCTTCGCCCCACTCTTCTTCCAGCAGTACCAGGGCCCCAACACTGACCAAGACCCTGTGCGCTGTAAGATACTGATGAAGGTGAGGCCCCCTCCTGACAGGAACTGCCACCGGCAGAGTGAAAAGGGGCAGAGGGGATAAGGCTCAATAAAGACCTCCTCCCTCACCAAGAGCGGCCTGTGTTGCAGTGACTGGGTGCCAGGGCTCGCCCTGGGCTGGGCTGCGGGGAGCTGGCGTGTGGCAAGCACACTGATGGCCTGTGTTCCCTCAGTCGTTCCTGTCAGTCTTCCGCTCCCTAGCGATGCTGGAGAAGACCGTGGAGAAGTGCTGCATTTCCCTCCACGGCCGGAGCAGCCGCCTGGTCGTCCAGCTGCACTGCAAGTATGGTGAGTGGGCAGCGCCAAGCAGGGGCCAGGAGCGTGTGGGGGTGCGGCTTGGAGAGATGGGGCCAGGAGCGTGTGGGGGTGCGGCTTGGAGAGATACTGAGACCCTGTCTGCCCACATAGGAGTGAGGAAGATCCACAACTTGTCCTTCCAGGACTGCGAATCCCTGCAGGCCGTCTTCGACCCGGCTTCCTGTCCCCACCTGCTCCGGGCCCCAGCCAGGCGAGTGCTCTCTCCCTGTGCTTTTTTCCTTTTTAATTTTATTATTTGTGTGTGTGTGTACCATCAAATTGGATCTGACTGGTACAGGAAAAGACTGCCCCTCCTTCTGCAGAGTATCTGGTGGATTCAAACTGTGTACCTCTGGGATTGCAGTGCAGCTTCTTGCCACTAGGCCACCAGAGCTCCCCTCTCCCTGCATCTTTTGAGAAGACACTTTCTCCAGGTTCCTAATGGCTGGCTGTCCTGTTTGCTCTCAGGCTTTGCCTGGCTTTCCAAAGCAAAGGCTGAGGAAAGAGGGTGCGTGGCTCTCACTCCATCTCCTTGGACTCTCCAGCCCTATATATGGCCTGAGTAGGGTGGTAGCTCAGGGCTTTGGCACCCTTCAGGGCCTGGTCCTCATTTAGAGGGATTCTCCATTTGAGGGGAGTTCTTGACTGCACCCACCGAGGCACTCTGGCCTCGTGGGGTCCCCAGGTCCTGGCAGGAGACCAGGTGAGGGAATGTGATCCAGGAGACTGGGGTTCTGGATGGTCAAACGCTGATGGCCTTGTGGGGCGAAGAAGATGGGGACTCTTGGAAAGGCAGGGTCTCTGTTGAGGGCTAGCTCATGGGTGACGCCAGGCACTACTTGACTCCATGTTGCCCAGGTCCCACCCATTTCTCGTGGTGGACTGTGGATATGGTGACTTGAAATCTCCTTGGGTCCTGAGTGTCTACACTCTGAGTTCTGTCCAGAGCCTGCTCAGAGGAGGGGGAAGGCTAGCCCTTCTGCTGTGATGTCTGTAGCCATTCCATTCTGAAAAACTGGCGTGCCCCATGTGGACAGTTTCAAACATAGAGAAGTGGGGTGTAGTTTGCTCAGCCCCAACATCCCCAGCTCGCGCCCCCAGTTATTTAGAGGCAAACTCCAGGTGTTATTTCACTTAGAAGTCCTTTTCAGCAAATAGTCCTCAAAGAAGGAGCCCAGGTGGCCCAGTGGGTTAAGCATTAGGCCTCAGAAGTCTCACCCTGCTCTCCCTGCGGCACCTGGATGCTGACGTGTGCACACAAATGGACTTGCACAAGTGTGGGCCCCTGTCTGGTCGCCGGTCCTCTGATAGGGTGAGCGGCCGGCCCAGGTGTGATGCCACGCTTCCTCATCCACAGGGTCCTGGGGGAAGCTGTTCAGCCCTTCCCCCCCGCGCTGGCTGAAGTGACATTGGGTGTTAGCCATGGCCACAGGGTCATCCTTCGAAGCTACCAGGAGGAGGAGGCAGGTGAGGGAGCTGGCCTGGGGTGGCCCTGGCCTGTGATGGGAAGCCAGCTGGCCAGGCTGGAACTAGGCTAAGGTCCCAATTTCTCTGCTTCTGTACCACAGATAGCAACGTCAGAGCCATGGTGACGGAGATGAGCATCGGGGAGGAAGACTTCCAGCAGCTGCAGGCCCAGGAAGGAGTGGCCATCACTTTCTGCCTCAAGGAATTCCGGGTAGGTGTTCCCAGTGCACATGCCGACTGGCGGGGCCTCTCCCAGCCCCAGGCCTGACCTCCTTCCCTCCCAGGGCCTCCTGAGCTTCGCCGAGTCCACGAATCTGAGTCTTAGCATTCACTTCGATGCTCCGGGCAGGTAATTCCCACCTGGTGAGACAGGGAAGGGCCGGGGAGGGCTCCTGGGACTCTGAGCACCCCAGCACCCTGTGGTCCTCCCCCAGGCCGGCCATCTTCACGGTCGAGGACTCTCTGCTCGATGGTCACTTTGTCCTGGCCACGCTCTCAGAGCCAGACGAGCCATCCCAGGATCTGAGCTCCCCACGGCCCCGCCAGCCAGGGCCTCCGCCCCAGGTTCACAGGTGAGCACTCTCGCCCCTCTGCCCCCTGGGCTGTGTGCCCAGCTGAGCTGCTGCGGCCAGCCCTGCCCTTCCCCCACATACTTCCTGCAGGCAAGCTCCAGGCACTTCAGCCTCACTGGAGCCTCCAGTCCTGCTGGCTGGTCAGCTGTGCTTAGACCCCTCCCACCCGGGGAAGGTCCCCAAGGCCTCTGCTTCCTTCCCTGGCTGGGGCCTCCCCGCCCTCTGCAGGCTACTGGGAGGCAGGGCGCTGCTGGGTAGGGACCAGGTGGCTGGCCTGGCAGGTGGGCTGGAAGGCTGGCCCTGAGTGCAGGCAGAGGAAGTCCGACCTGGCCCCCCGCCCAGCTCTGTCCCCTGGGAAGTGAGGGGGGGGGCTTGGGCTCTGGGTGGCCTAGCTGGCAGGACTTGCCGTCCCCCTCCCCCAGCTGGGCCTCTCCAGGACCTACCTGAACTAGGATCAAACAGATCCCAGCCCACTCCCTCCAGGAAACCGCCACTGAACCCCGCTTCCTCTCTCCTCCCTGTGAATCAGGAAGTCATAAAACCAAGAGTCTTTTGGGCCCCTCAGAGCTTCCAGATGGGGCTCTGCTTCATGACACCTCTCTCTGCCTGCAGCACACCCCACCTGGACGATTTCACCAACGACGACATCGACTCCTACATGATTGCCATGGAAACCACCGTGGGCAGTGAGGGCTCTGGGGCACTGCCCGCCCCCTCCCTCTCTGCGGGTCCCCACCCCCCCTGTAGCTCCAGCCCTAACTCAGAGGATGAGCCCAGCACGGTGCCTGGGACCCCCCCACCAAAGAAGGTAGGAGCAAGGTGGAATGGGGGGTTGGGGGAGAGCTGCTTCTGGAACTCACTGGGGTTTTCTTCCTTCCAGTTCCGCTCACTGTTTTTTGGCTCCATCCTGGCTCCTGCACACTCGCCCCAGGGTCCCAGCCCTGTGCTGGCCGAAGACAGTGAGGGCGAAGGCTGAGCTGGGCTGGGCTCTGGTGGACCGGAAACACTGCTGCTTCCTGCTGGGCTGGCCAGCCGCAGGCCTCGGACCCCAGGCCACCTAGACGGCCCAAACTGCAGGCTGTGCTGTGCCTGCTGACAGGTGGTCTGGGCTCTGGCCTCCCCTCCTAGCCAATCATGTCTGCTCATGGACCGTCCTCACAAAGTTCCAACAGGACTGCTGCTGGCCCTGGGACCTTTTGCTGATCATGACCACAGTGCCCTTGTCCTGGCAGCCCTGTGGTCCACACAGACTGCTTTTATTACTTTCCCAATACTCTGAGCTTAGAATTTCAACCACCTGTCTTTGTATGGGGCTGGGGCCTGGTGCCCAGTAAGGCTTCCCAGCCAGTGGCTCCAGGCAGAAGGGCTGGCAGGCCCAGTGTTAGGACAAGGGAGGCAGAGGCCATGAAAAGAATCCAGCTTTGATCTTTATTCAAGAGACCAGACGGGTTGCCCCAGGATCCAGCTGCCAGCCCCAAGGCCCAGCGCTGCTGGACACTCATGACCCGGCCTGCCTTTACCCTGAGCTGCAGTCTTGGCCCCAGGATCCGGCTCACAACCCTCAAAGGTGCAGCCAGGAGGGAAGCCTGGGGATTGGACACTGCTACTGATTCATTAAAAAAAGGAAAACAGGCCAAGGCTCGAGTCCTGTGGGGTGGGCCCAGGCCGCCCTGACCCGTGGCAGCAGGCTTCCGGACGGTCAGCTCGCTGTCTGGGGGCAGAGGGTGGCCACGAGGAGGCTACTTCTTGGCTTTGGCAGAATTGCGGGGTGGGGTGATGGGCCGCCCCCCGGGATTCAGGCCACTGAACTGCCCGTACTTCCCCTTGTTCTTGTCTGCGGGCTTGAGGATCTAGAGAAAGAAAACTAGTCAGACTCCTGGGGCCAGTGACCACCCTGCACCCCGGAAGGAGCACACAGGGCCCTCAGCACCCCACCTGGAAGGAGCACATGAGTGTCTCGTCCACACTCATCATGGCGCCGGCGTTGTCGAACTCGCCGCAGTAGTTGGGAGCTGAGAAAAGTGTTACCAGCTGCCGCTTGGCAAAGAACTCATAGCCGTCTTCCACTACCTGGGCGGGGATAGGGTGGGCGTGAGCTGGGGGCTGGGCCACCAGGCCAGCCGGCGTCCCCCCCGCAGACCCCTTTCTACGAGCCCACCTGGTGCGCCCGGCAGATGAGGTCCAGGTCATGCTTGTGCAGGAATTTGGCCACCACCTCAGCCCCGAAGGTAAAGGAGACCCCGCGGTCATTCTCGCCCCAACCCTGCACATCTTTGTCAGGGTCGGACCAAAGCAGGTCGCACAGCAGACCCTGGTCAGGCACGTCCGTGGGCCGCATGATGCGCCGGATCTGCTCC